ACTATTGTGGCAGTTTTTAGTTATATATTTATTTAAGAAAAGGTCTTGCCTGGAACCTAGCATAATTGTCATCAGAGAGACTCCATCCATCAACTGATGGGAGCAGATGCAGAGACCCACAGCCAAACATTAGGCGGACCTCAGGGAGTCCTGTGGAAGAGGGTGAGGAAGGATTGTAGGAGCCAGAGGGGTCAAGTACACCACAAGAAAATGGCCCACAGAATCAACTGACCTGGGTACATAGAAGCTTACAGAGGCTAAACCGACAATCAGGGAGCCTGTGTGGGTCTTAGCTAGGCCCTCGGTGTATATGACCTTCAATTGTTGTATTTGGAAGGCTAGAGAGACCGCTCAGAGGTTAAAAGCACTGGTTACTCTTTCAGAGGACCCAGATTCAATTCCCAGCATCCACAGGGTGACTCACCACCATCTATAATTCTAGTTCCAATGCCCTCTTCTGACTTTCTCAGGCACCAGGCATGCACCTGGTGCACACGTTTGCAGGCAAAACACTCATTCACATAAAAGAATATGTGTCTAAAAGTTTTCTTTAAAAGGTAGTTTTTTTTCATTTCTGAGCGTGTGTGTGTGTGTGTGTGTGTGTGTGTGTGTGTGTGTGTGTGCACCTAAGGAGGCCACAGAACATTGGTTGACCCTGGAGATTTCCTGCTGGAGTTACATGCAGTTCTGAGATGTCAGATGTGGGAACTGGACTCGGGTCAGCAAGAATACCACACAGTGCTCTTAACCAGCTGAGCCGTCTCTCCAGCCCCTATAAATGTATTGCCTTGTGGATCCAGAGGCCAGAATTCTGATGAAAGTGTCAGACTGAAGTTAAGGTGTTGGCAGGGCTGCCTAATTTGTGGGAGCTCAAGAGGAACTTGCTTCCTTGTTCCGTTGGTTCCTGGAAGCTGCCTGGACTCCCTGGCTCGTGGCCCCTTCTCTTCAAAACTCATCTCTCTGACCCTTCCTCCTCTGGAATGTCTTTCTTCTCCTAGCTGAGAAAAGACCTTCCTTTGAGGTCCCCTGCAATTAAACTAGGACTACCAGGCTAGAAAGGGTGATCACCCGTCTAAGGGCCTTCACCTAAGCACGTCTACATTTTGTCAGGTAAAGTCATATATTTATAGGCAGCTGGGACTAGTGTCTGAACATTTGGGGATTCCTTGGTCTGTTACCATCAGACTTTGCCGAGGCCAGTGCTTACAGTAATGTAGCACAGAGTCTTCCTGATGTCTACTGGGCTCGTATGACCAAAATGACCCAGATGAACCCCTTTCACACAGCAAATTCCCAACTGGCTCCCCTGCCCTTGTTAGATAACCCATTCTCTGTAGTAAGCAGAGGGGCGGTCAGGGCAAGGCAAGGCTGTGGTGTTTGGCCTCACAGTATCCGAGTTCAGACTGCGGTCCGGAAATGCAGCTTGGATCTCTCAGGTCTTAAAGGCCCTAGTGTTCTTGACTTCTGGACAGTACGGGTAGAACTGAGTCCCAGACTTTTGGATGTTCAGCTCTGAAAGTTAATGTGAACGCCAATATTACAAAGACTTTCATACACACCCAGGAAGGGCAAGAATTGCACTCCCCCAATCTTAAAGTACAAGAGCATTTAGAACTCGATCAAGGCGTTCGGACAGCAGCTCTCACGGGCATAATCAGCATCTGTCACGGTTCATCCTCCAGGGGGGCTTTGACGTAGACTCTACAAGCTGGCCTAAGACTGAAGGGGCTGCAGAATGTCATGAAGAGATAGTTCACCACCACCAAGAGGGCTAAAGAGGAGAGAAATCCAGACCACTCCTGATGAAGACTTCTAGGCGATGCGGGTGAGCTGGGCCACTCAGGCTGCTCCATCTCAGTGCCACACTCCTGTTTCCTGGAAACAGCATGAGGGTCCCTGACGCTGTTTCCAGTGCATATTAGAAGCTGGACTTGGGCATCTTATCTGGCATCCAGGTCCCGTTCACCTGTGTATTGGGTTCTGGAAACTGAGACATTGTCTACAGCCCGTGGAATTCCTGCTAGTGTCCTTATCGTCACTCAGCCTGCCCACCCCACACCTTGTGTACCACAGATGCAGCGCCCTCATTGTCCCCACCCATCCCTGACACCAGCTGCTCTGTACCCTCCCACTCACTCTCACATGCCCCACAGGCCCCCAGGGAGTCACCAGTCCACTGCCAGTATATGGGGGAGGCCCTGAGACAGTGCCCGGAGGAAGACACTGAGCTGTTGGAAACTTCAGTCAAGCAGGGACCGTTAACAGCTGTTGCAGAGAACCCTTAAGACATAAACGAATCTCAAAAAAGGAAATACTTGTAAAACCTGTTGTCTTGACCTATGATGACTTTTCTGAGAGGACAAAAGATGGCCGCTTTCACCGGCTGCCTCAGCCCACAGGACCCGCTGTGTTTCATTTTTCAGGGGTGCGTTGACACAGACACTCACCTCCCACAGATACCCCTAACAGGCCACAGTGTGTGTGCGCGCGTGTGTGCGTGTGTGGGGGGCTGTGCACAGGCAAACACATAACTTCCTCAGGTGACAGTGTGCTTGCTCTTCAGCCTCAGGGCCACTTTCTCTGGGGCAGGCAGGCTCCACTACGCTACTACAAGAAAGCTCTCCCAGCGTCACCTGGGCCTGCCATGTACCACCAGTCACATGAGTTGGTAGCACGAGGTGAGGAACTTTACCTTTCTTTCTTTCTTCCTCCCCACAGCTGCAGGACAGCTGGTGGGGGTGGGGGAGGGGTGGGAGTGGGGGTGGGGATAGGGGAGGGGTGGGAGTGGGGGTGGGGGTGGGGCGGATGTGGTCCAAAAGGGGGTGAGTTTTTCTTACCTCCATACCTCATCCGGTTCCAGCTCATTCCAACCTCCCGGTCGTGAAGACCTTTTGGGATTCCTTTAAAGAGGTTACACTGTGGTAAAAGAACATTAGCTATCCCCTTTGGATAATGCTGTTCTCAGTCCAGCCTTCCTACCTCTGTCAGTCAGGCCCTCTTCAGCTTCATCTACAATAACTTAGTAGGTTTGGCAGGCTCCTCTAGAAATGTCGTCTCGTCTCTCTGTGTGTCTCTGTTCCTTTGTGTGTCTCTCTCTGTCTCTGTCTCTGTCTCTCTCTCTCTCTCTGAGACAGAGTCTCACTTTATAACCCTGGCCAGCCTGGAACTCAGGGTGTAGACCAGGCCTGCCTCTGCCTCCTGATTTCTGAGATTAAAGATGTGTACCACCACACTTGGCCCAAGTGTCCATTTTCTCTGGGGATGAGCATGATGGAACAATGTTTGGACTGTGTACGTGTGCTGGGAAGTGAGCCCAGACCATCATACTCCCAGTGTACCACTGAGCTACGCCTCCAGCCCCCAGGACCTCCAAAAGAACTTATTTACAACAAGGGGACATTTCTTTGCCTCACTTCTGCCGAGGAAGCCACGGCCACCCCCTTCTTCTTTCCTGAGTTGTATTTTATTTTATTTTATGTGGATGAGTGCTTTGCCTGCATGTATGTCTGTGCCCAAATGTGCCGGCCGATGACTGAGGTGATCAAAGAGGACACCAGATCTCCTGGAACTGGAGTTACAGATGGTTGCGAATGGCCACGTGGGCGCTGGGAACTGAACCAGTGCTCTTAACCACTGAGCTACCGTCTCTTCAGCCCACCACATCCCTTCTTGAGCCCCACACTCATAGTTTCCTTTCCTCCTTCCCTAGGAGGTATGTGAGGACCACTGTTGCTCCAGGCTGGTCCTTCAGTGCAGCCCAGAGCTGCTCCTCAGGCCCTGCCGAGGGGACACTGATTCCTGATATGGCTCTGTTGGGGAACCCAGAGGATGGCACAGGATGTCCAGGGGAGGACTCATGGGGGAGGGAGACACCTGGTCACAGGTGTGATCAGGTACGCAGCAGAAAGAAAGCTGTAAAGTGGGCAGTCTGGGGTGCTCACAGAGGAAAACTAATTTGTTCCTGCTTCCCTTGCATCCTCAAAAAAGCTACCACATTGCCAGGAATGGTTTCTGGGTGACAGTTCAGCAAGCAGAAGGCCAGTTAGGTTCACCTCAGAAGGGCTCCACGCTAAACGGAGGGCATGAGCCTTATATCTAAGCTGCCAAATGAAGGACGCCCTCCTGGTAAGGCATGGGTCTACTGGAAACCCCAGAATGAGGAGGAGCTAAGGCTCCATGGTAGGAACCCCCAAACTGATGGTTGAGGATGAAGCTGCAACCTGGAGCAGTGATTGGGGAGCGCCCTGGGTCAGTTAAGAACAGAAGAGTCGGCCGGGCGGTGGTGGCGCCCGCCTTTAATCCCAGCACTCGGGAGGCAGAGCCAGGCGGATCTCTGTGAGTTCGAGGCCAGCCTGGTCTACAGCGTGAGATCCAGGAAAGGCACAAAGCTACACAGAGAAACCCTGTCTCAAAAAACCAAAAAACAAAAAAAAAAACAAAAGAACAGAAGAGTCGGTGGAGTGGGTCATGGAGCACGCCTTTAATCCTAGCACTCGGGAGGCTGAGGCAGGCAGATTTCTGAGTTTGAGGCCAGCCTGGGCTACAGAGCGAGTTCCAGGGCAGTTAGGACTGCTTCACAGAGAAACCCTGTTCCAAAAAACAAAACAAAAACAAACAAACAAAAAAAACCCAACCAAACAAACAAACAGAGTCCCAAGTATACATTGATAGATCTCAGTGAATGGCAGGCAGGAAGGGAGTGGCCAACCAGAGAACATACCAGGACTGTGGTGTGGGTCTTAAGTACTGAGGAGACCAAAGAGGGTAAGATACAGGGGAGGGCCACTGGCTGGGCACAGGTCCAGGCTGGCTTTGGCATCTGTATTTTGGACCTCAGGAGCCCTCCCTGGCCCTCTGGCTCCAACCCAGGGTACTTCTTCTGCTTCATTGAGTCCATCTGCCGGAGGCCTTCCTCTTTTGTGACTTGGGGTCACAGCGCTGAGCCTTACAGTCACAGAGAGCTCAATGCCTGAGGGAGGAGAGTGGCCAGGGAGGTGTGGGCCCGTGGGTTAGCTGGAAGACCTTGAGGCAGAGGTGCCCAAGGCCATGGCTGACGCCATCACCTACGCAGACCTGCGCTTTGTGAAAGTGCCCCTGAAGAACAGCATCTCTAATCATTTAGGACAGGGTAAGTCCTGCTTGCTACCCTCCTTATCCCACCTCCACTCCACAGACCTCATTCCCGACTCCTACTTCGGACCTTTCCTCTTCCAGACTGTGAGGCCTACGAGGATGGGGAACTCACCTACGAGAATGTGCAAGTGTCTCCAGTCCCAGGAGGGCCGTCAGGCTTGGCTTCCCCTGCGCTAGTGGACAAAGCAGGTGTGGAGGTCCAGGGATGTGTCTGGGGAGTATCTGGGGAGTGCAGAGCAGTCTTGGAGAAAGTAGCAGGGCCTTTCTTGAGAATAAGCTAGCTGAGAGCCAGGGGGAAGATGAACGGTCCCAGAAGGGTGACAGTCCTCACGGTTAGCTGGTTAGCAGGGGGCAGGATCAGGGCAGCCGGGGGCGAGATGAGTGGGGAACGAGAATGGAAAGAGGTGTTGAAGGATGAGGAGTCACAGACAACGAGACCCTGAGGAAATGATGAGACAAATGGAGACCCAGGAGAGAGGTGAGGGATGACGGGGAGTGTGGATAAGGCAACCCAAGAAAGGCTTCCGAGTGAGGACCTCCCTGCGTGGCAGTTCTGGGGGCAAGCAGGAGGTGAGCAGGGTCCATCCCCCAAACTCCAAAGGCGACAGGGACATGAGTCCCAGGGCAGCAGAGGAAGTCCCCCGAGAGTGACTGTCCCACAGCACTTAGCCCAGGACAGACTAAGGTCTTGGCTTGGTGTGGGGCTGGGGAGAAGGGAGGTTACCGGGACTTTCCACCCTTACCTCGGGCGCTCCCCTTCGGCAGGCATCAGGTCAGAGCAGCCAACTGCGTCCTGGAGCTCCGTGAAGCCGCCCACAGTAGGGCAGATTCCCCATTGTGCGTATCCCCCCCACCCCCACTCCCACCCCCGCAGCCCCAGCGCGCCACTCCCCAGCAGCCCACCCGCAGGGCAGGGCTGCCTGCCAGAGGGTGCGCATCCCGGAGGGGTGGGGCTGGGCTCTGCCCCGTGTTGCTCCTTCTGGGGGTGAGCCTTTGGGACTTCAATGACATCCCAGCCGCTCCACTCCCTACACTTAGAATCAATCCAGATCACAACTCCCCTGTTCCGATGGTCCCTAGTCACATGCCTCCAGGTCCCTTTCCCTGTATGAAATTTAGTTTCTTCTGGGTAATGTCCCCTCTGTCCTTTTCACCAGTCACAGTCCCCATCCCTCACTCCTGACTGACAAAGCCGGTTTAGGAATGTTTTCCTTTCTCTCCGGTCTCCATGTGCCTTCTTCCCTGGAACTGACTGCTCCTCATCATTGTCCCCTAAGGTCCCACAGTCGGCTTGCAATACTTCTTGCTGGGCCTTCTCCTGGCCTGTCTGATGTTAGGGGTGGCTGCCATCTGCCTGGGAGTTCGCTGTGAGTATGGGTACCCCCATTCCCCACTCATTCTAAACATCTCCTCTTCTTTGCCCCAACTGGTCTTTCATCAAGAAGGCTCAAAGCCACTGTCCCGACATCCTTGGCTTTGGGTTTGGTTTCCAGTCAGGTCTGTCCCAGAGTGTCCTGCCTTCCTAGTTATCCTTACCCAGTTTAGGGGTTCCTTAAACTCTGGGCAGCCAGATCTTCAATTCAGCACATTATACAAAAAGTTACAAGAAACAGAAGACGTTGACGCTGCAGTCTTAGCGCACCAGCTAGAGGAAGTGCCCTTAAGTGTCGTCAGTCTGTCCGTCGTCCCCCGACCCCCACACCCAAGGTTCTCCATATGCAGCCCAGGCTGGCCTTGAACTTCCTGTCTTCCTGTCTCAGTCTTCCCGAGGCAGGGATACAAGTGTGTTTTGCTAAACTCAACCTGTCTCTTCCATGGCCGAACAGATCTGCAGGTGTCTCGGCAGTTCCAGCAGGCAACCAGGATTTTCGAAGCCACCAACAGTAGCTTGCAGCAGCAGCTGAGGCAGAAGACAGCTCAGCTGAGGCAGAAGGAGGTGGATCTGCAGGAGTCTCGGGCAGAGCTGACCCTGAGTCAGGGCGCTTTACAGGAGAAGCAGAAGATCCATGAGGCCACTGAGCAGCAACTAGAGGCCTGCCAGTCTGAGGGACAGAGGACCAAGGAGAGCTTGGAAAGGGAGGAGCAGCAGAGGAGGGACTTGAACCAGAAGCTGATCAACATGCGGGACACACTGAAACGCTTCTTCACCTGTTCCTCAGGTATCTGCTCTGGGATCAGGGAGGTGGGGCAGACCTGTGAGGGATGGACTGAATCCAGGAATCTCTAGTGGCTGGGTCTGCCTAGCGTTCAGCAGCCAGTGAGTTCAAAAAAGGGGCAGTGAGCCAGAGCAGTGGCTGACCTGGGCTATGTGACTCGGTTATTGAGAAGGACCAAGCTGCACACTGGGTTTAGGGGGATGCACCCAGCTCTACAGCAGATCATGTCGGGGGAAGGAAGTAATCTCTAGCATCTCATTGTTCAATTCTTTCTGACCTAGAGGCATCTAGCTGCTTCCACCAAGTTTAAGATAGCAAGATTACAGGCACACACCCCCCCTTTAGCTCTCATTTCCTTATGCTCCTGTTCTCTGTGTGTGCGAGCGTGCGTGCATGCATTCGTGAGTATGTGCTCTCTCTCTCTCTCTTTCTTCCCCTTCCCTCACTCCCCCCCCCCCGTGTGTGTGTGTGTGTGTGTGTGTGTGCCATTGGAGAATAGTTTTTGAGATAGAATCTCTTCACTCAGCCTACAGCACGGCCATGCTCAGTTCTACTTTTTCTAGGGGTGCTGGGTATCTGAACTGAAGTCCTCGTGCTTTTGTGGCAAACCCATTAACTACTGAGCCATCTCGCAGGCCCTCTCCTTAACCTTCTTATTTCCCATGACTCTCAGACCCTCACCAGTGCCACCACCATATCTACACTTTAGACCTTGCCATCCCATGGTGTTCTTCTGTTCACAGCTTGGCTGTAGACATCTACTGCCTGTAGCTACCTAGTCCACAGGGTTCTCTACACACCTCCCGTCTTCCCGAGGCATCCAGCCCGTGGAGTCCCAGCTTGCTTTCTTCCCAACAGCTATCTCTTATCCTCGCCTCTCTCTCGACTCACCTTGGGTTCCAGGGTCTATTACTCACTCACCCACTCTCTTGTTCCCTGGTCCTGGTGCACTAGACTGATTAAAAACACAACCTGGATGACCCCAAACTGACAGCTTAGTCTAGGCCTGCATCAGGTGTGACAAACTGCAGTTGATCAGCTTGGTGCTGCTGAGACTCTGGTCTGCACAGGCAGCTTCCTTTCCGGAGTCGCTCCTTCCCCACCGCCTTTTCCATCCTGTCCAGCAGGTGCCGCCACTGTCAGCACAGCAGAAGGACCCCACCAAGTCTATCAGGACATGTGTGTTCTGCAGATCCCAGTCTTTTTAGGACAACTGCCACAGCTGGGTGGTGTTGGCGGATGTTTTCCTGTGTCCCGCCTGGTCCCGCAGCCATTCAGTACCAAGTAAACACACAGAGGCTTATATTAATTACAAACTGTTTGGCCAATGGCTCAAGCTTATCATTAACTAGCTCTTACAACGTAATTCAACCCATTTCTATCAATCTATGTTTTGTCACGTGGCTTCGTGGCATTACCTGTGTTCTAACCCATCTTGTTCCCCCGGCAGTCCTCAGCATCTCCTCTGACTGCCTTCTTCTCCTAGTCTCTCTGCTTGGATTCCCCACCTGGCTCTGTTCTGCTTTGCCATAGGCCATGGCAGCCTCTTTATTAACCAATGGGAGCAACACACATTCACAGTGTACAGAAAGACCATGCCACAGCAGGGTGTTTTTCTTAACTACTCTCCCCCCACCCAAATGGAGTCCATTATTCATAATGGTACCAGAAGAAGTCCTCCTTTTTTATATTCTTCCTTTTGTCCATTTTCGTGTGTGTGTGTGTGTGTGTGTGTGTGTGTGTGTGTGTGTGTGTGTGGTGTGTTATATGCATATGTACATATGTGTTTGTGTATGCACAGGTTGAGGCAGAGACTCATCCTTGATTACTCCTTTACTTTATTCATTGAAGCAGGGTCTCTCAATCAAACCCAGAGCTCATCAATATGGCTATAGTCTGCTTTCTGTGGGGATTCTATGACCTGCCTTCCAAGGTGTGACAGGATGGCTGCCACTCACTTGGTAGTCACTTCGTGTCTTAGTTACTTTTCTATTGCTGCGACAAAACACAAGACCAAGGAAGCTTATGAAAGAAAGTGTTTAATTGGGTTTGCGGTTTCAGAGGGTTAGAGTCCATGATGGTGGAGCAAAGGCATGGTGGCAGAAACAGCTGAGAGCTCACATCTTTTTTTTTTTAATTTATTTTTAACTTTATTTTATATGCATTGGTGTGAAGGTGTCAGATCCTGGAGATCTGAACTTACAGACAGTTGTGAGCTGCCATGTGGGTGCTGAGAATTGAACCCAGGTCCTCCGGAAGAGCAGCCAGTGCTCTTAACCATTGAGCCATCTCTCCAGCCCTGAGAGCTCACATCTTGATTCTCAAGTGGGAGACAGGGCACATGGGAGTAGTAGGAGTCTCTTGAAGCCTATCAAAGCCTGCCTCCACCAACACACCTCCTTCCACAAGGCCACACCTCCTAGTCCTTCCCAAACAGGTCCACCAACTGGAGGCCAAGCATTCAAATATGTGAGCCTATGAGGGCCATTCTCATTTCAAGTCGCCCCACTCAGGTTCTGGGGATCCTAAGTGACAAGTGCTTTAACCACTGGCCCAACCCTAGTTATGGGGAAATCCTTTAAAAAACACAAATCTGATCATGCTGTCCCAGTCTAGGTCACACCATTCTAATTAGTTATCTAAGCAGCAATGGGGTATAATACGTTCCAGTATGTGCCCAGACATGGGGTGTGGATAGAGAGCAAAACTCCTCTATGCAAAATCCAACATTATTTTTCTCTTCCATGTATATAATTAAAAAAAATCCTGAGCCAGACATGGTGGCACACACTTATAACTTCAACATTTAGAAAGCTAAGGCAGGAGGAGGAGGATTTGAGCCCCAGCCTAGGCTACATGATGAGAGCCTGTCTCAACACACACTCCCTCTCCCTCTCCCTCTCCCTCCCCCCCTCCCTCCCTCCCTCCCTCCCTCCCTCTCCCCTCTCCTTAACATGACTTTCAAGGCCCCTGCTTACCTTTCAGTAGGTTTCTTATTCTCTCACTCTCTTCAAGTCACACTAGTTTTAAAAAAATTCCTTTAAGTTGCCACAGGACAGATCAATGGGGGAAGCTTGATGGGGACATAAGAAAATGTCCGAGAGAGAGAGAGAGAGAGAGAGAGAGAGAGAGAGAGAGAGAGAGACAGAGAGACAGAGAGAGATTGAGATTGGGTGCACAGGGAATGCTTTCTGAGTGAGGAGCTAGGACCGATGGATCAAATGGAAAGAGAAAAGCTGTGACTGGGATTAAGAGCACAGCGGGGTGTGGGGCGTTAAAGAGGATGTTCATTTCTTAAAGGTAGCCTGGAAAACAACAGAGACATGTATCTTTAAGTGAAAATATGGAAATGGAGAGTGTTCATAATTTCATAAAGACAGGAACCAAGTCTGTCTGCTTATGGAGTTGTGGTGGAGAGAGATGTGGCCAGGGGCTGGAGGAATGAGGCAAAACTTCAAATGTGCAGTGGAGATGTGTTAGTGAGTAAATGGAATGAATGAATGAATGAATGAATGAATGAGAAGCCCATTGATCAATGTGAGAGCCCAGGCAAGGTTGGCCAGTGTTAGGGCAGATTTTAATCTTTCAGACACCAGGGACAGCAACACTAACTCCACTAAAACTATCTTCCCATATTGTTAGAAGTAAAATGTTTCCAGAAGAGGCAAAAGATTGCAAAGATCAAGGACTAAAGTTGATGAGGATGTTGGGGGGCGGGGGAGCTGAGGGACTAGTGTTAGCTGGTCACTTTATTCCAAGTGTTGTGGCTGTCATATTCTTTCTGCTTTGTAGACTCCTGCTGTCCAGTGGGATGGCTACAGGAACAGAAAAGATGCTTTTACATCTCATACACTCCCAGAAGTTTCGAGGAGAGCCAACAGTACTGCACATCTCTGTCCTCCAAACTGGCTGTAGCTGGAGAATCTGAGAAGTATTATTATTATTATTATGATGTGAGCATGCCCTTATCCATATTCTGAAGTGGGTGCCATTGGTCAAGGAGGTTATGTCATTGAGTCAGGAGTGGCAGCGCGGTCTGTGGTTTGCACCGCTTCCCCGTGACAGATAAGGACTGTCACACTATTCGCCAGTAGATGTGGCACTAGCTTCGGCATCTTCAGTCCTGATGCTTGAAGACGCCTCTAATGCTCGGCATTGGTGAGAGCGGGCACGTCTGAGCCAGCTCCACTTTAGCGTGTGTCTTGGCTTGCTGGCCTGCCCCTTGACTGTGTACTTGTTCACTGGCTCTCGTGCCTCTCAGCAGAGTGGTGCCGGACCCTGAGACCAGAAGTTCACACTGACTCCACTCCAAATTCTGACTCAGCTTGGGGGTGAAATGGAGGGTGGGCCTGTACCTGCCAGCACTGGAGGAATGCAGGAGCAATTAATTCATGTACTAAATGGGCATGGTCTCTGGTGACGCCAAACTCCCTGGCCTCCGAGGGTGTGCCCGTTTTATTCTGTATTCTCATTGCTTTCCACATGCTTCTCTGACTCCCTCCAGGTTACTCTGCCCGGCATCTTAAAGGAGTCGCTAAATGATTCAAAGTCATACTGGGTCCATCTGACAAGACATCCTGAAGGACACTTACCACAATATGGGAAGAATTTGGGGTATGTCACTCAACCTCTCATAAAAGCGTAATATTTCTCCCCTAAGCCCTGCTCCCAAAACTCTTCCACAAATCAGCATTGTGACTTCCTGTTTCTTCTGTTTAGAGACTGTTTAAGATATTAATTTAAAAAAAAATCGCGTGTTGAGGGAGGGGTGTCATGTGGCAGTCAGAGGACAGCTAGGCTTAGGGCCGTGACCTGCTAAGCCATCTCACTGACCTGAACTCTTACTCCACATCCCGTCCATAGTACCTGGAGCTCTCTAGCACGCACTTAAAATAAACATTACAATGGCATATTCCTATAATCCTAGCACTCAGGAGGCTGAGGGAGGATTGGGAGTTAAGGCCAACCTGGGCTACACAGCAAGACTCCCCATCTCAAAAAACAAAATAAAAAAGCAGTAATTAGGTTGAGGTCAGTTTCATCTATCAGCGGGAGCTGAGAATTTAGCTAGGGCTTTACAGCCAGAGAGAAGGCTGGCATTGAATTCCCTAAGCCTTGACAAGCCGCCCAAACTGTGGCTGTGCTTGCTTAGCCCATGCCAACTGGGCTGCTAGAACCGCACAGAGAGCAGGCAGCAGAGGAGCTGTGGTTTAGCTCAGGAACCCTGAAGTAGTGTGGTTACTTCATGTTCCATGGTTTTGAGATGGTTTCACTATATAGTGGCCTGCCTGTCTCCTGGGTGCTGGGATTAAAGGCGTGCACCAGCACACCCAGTTGCTTAGGTGGGGGGTTTCATCTTTGATGACTTTGGGGAGCTTTGAGCTGGAGTTCAGGAATCTGATTCTGAACCATGTGGCCTCAGCAGGAGACAGGTCTTGGACTGGGTTTTACAAAGAGCAAGGGGAAGGGAGGGTCCAGAGTGTACCCCAATTCTACTCACCACCCTTGCATCTTATTCTCACAGCTCACAATGCTGGAAGCTAAGAAAATGGCACAAAACATGGGATATAATTCAACCAAAGTGTACAGAGCTTAATCCCTGCATTTGTGAGCTGGAAGCTTTCGGGTTTCCTGATGGGGATCAACTGCACTGAAATGCGTAAGTATGGAGGTAGGTGGTACGGAGATAGGGCAGAGGTGTGAGCATGAGGACAGAGGTCCAGAAGACAGAGGGAAAATGTGTGACATCCACAACCTCCAGGGGCTCAGTCTGCTTATGTAGGGCCAGGCTAGGCAGGGAATGGGGACAGAAATGGCCTGGAACAGGGGAGCTGGAAGAAGACAGGGTGAACTGGATGGGGGTTAGTGACAGTCAGCTGGAGCTCACTGATGCTTTATTTTTCCAGACACACGAACAAGAGCTTGTGACCGACATCCTTAACCTGTGGCCTGCCAATACTTAGCAATGAGATCCCTCCAGCGTTCCCTCACTCTTGGGCATGCTCAGCTGAGGGCCTGATCCTGGCCTGGCAACCTGCTGCCTGCTTAAAAGCCGCCCCAGAAACTGGACTATTCCTGGGAAGAGAGTGAGGACTTTGGCCTTCCTTAAGAACTTCCCAGACTGGAGATGGGTCAGGGGAGGAGGGCGCACCGCTGAGTGGATGGATGGCCCGGAGCCAGCCAGGCAGTTTTATTGAAATATTTTTAAATAATTTGCACGTGTTAGTCTTGTGTGTCAGCAATGCTGTGTCTAGTTCAGTGATCCCCGTGGGAAAGCGAACCCAAGGGGTCGGATAGGAAGTGCTCTGTCCATTGAGACCATGCTGAGGCTCCCCTAGACGGGGAGAAGAGCCAGTCAGCCCATCTGGGGCTGGCATTGTCCAGCAAGTGCGCTCTGTCCTTACAGGCTATCCTGAAGGCCGAGGCTGGAAGCCTGAGATCGTAGGCCTTGCTGCTAAGAGCGTGCCCCAGGCAGCTGCAGGCTGGGTGTGGGTGGCTTGGCATGGTGCCCTCGGTGGCAGAGAAGACTGCCCGCCTCACAGTTCAGGTTGCGGTAGCGGGCAACAGCTGGGGTGGGGCGGGGGCACATGGATAGGAAGCCAAAGCTGAAGGGGCCGAGGCAGCAGCCGGGGCAGGGCAGGCCCTCCTCAGGCTCCCGGGGAGCTGATGGGGGAGGCGAGGGTTCTGTCCGCTCCAGGGCTGCTGCCCGGGGAAGGCTATGCTGTGCTCGGTTCCAGGGCTCCCCAGCCCATCCTTGTGGGGAATTGACCACCACGGCAGGGGGGTTATTATTGAGGGGAGGTCCTGATCGAGGAGACCAGGGTTGAGAGGCCGAGGAGCAAGTACTGATGAAGTTGTCGGTGGCCACAGCCAGAGGCAGCTGGGGAGCTGGCCCCGGGGGCTCTGGCTCAGGGCTGCTGCCCTCACACTCCATCTTCTCTTCAGCCGAGGGGCCCATGGGGGAAGGGCCGGGACCTGGCAGTGCTGTCTCCATCCTTCGGGGGAGCTCAGGGGATGAGGGTAGAGAGCGACAGCGGCGGGCAGGTGTCTCGGGCTGGACCAGGGTCTCTGGAGTGGTCACCAAGGGCAGCTGGGCAGAGGTCAGCGGTGACGGCGGTACCAGGGGCAGCGGGGTGGCCGGCTTGCAGGGTGTGTCCAGGAGTTTGATCTTGCCACCCCTGAGGTCTTCCCGCAGCGAGAAGGGGTTGACTCGTGTCAAAGTGTCCCCCCAACTGGGGGGCGACTCTGGTGAGGGTGGCAGGAAGAGGTCGGAGCGACTGCGGGAGAGCCGGGGGTCTGGCCTGGGAAGCGTGGCCGAGGGACCTCCTCTTGGGACAGACCCTGTACAAAGAGAGGCGGTGGCCACTGTTCTCAGCATCTGCTCAGAGTGAGGCCCTTATTCCCCAGGAAAGAGGTGGGGCACGAGCTTAGGAGAGGGAGTTCTAGGTGCTGTAGAAGGGAGGGCTGCTACTCCAGCCCCCTTTTTCCCTTAGGGGAAAACAAAAGGTAATCATGTGTCTGTGTGTACACCTGTGTGAACAATAGGACATTGGAGCTGTAGGTGGAGGTCAGAGGTCAGAAGAAACTTTCAGGACTTGGGTCCTTACAAGCACCTTTGACCTGATAAGCCTCTCACCAGCCCCTCCTCCAGCTACCTTTCCACCTTTCCTTTCCTACCTCTGCGTTCTTGGACTCTAAGACGCCTCTCCATCCCACCCAACGCCACCTGACCCCCAGCCCTTCCAACTAGGAGGTCCACTCAGCCTCCTCAGGATGACTGACTCTCGGGAGAGGTGGGACGACTTCTGTTGGGTCAAGGTCATGCCCACTTACCCTGACTGTATGTTAAGGGAGCCTTAGTGAGGGGCGTCTTGGAGAGGGGAGCAGGCTCAGGCAGCTGCTCCAGGATCTGCTCCAGGTGCTGGGTGATCTCAGAGAAAGGGGCACGGGTGCTGGGTTCCATCTGATGGGTACAGACAGGGCAGCTGACTCGGGGCTCAGGAGGAAGGTCAGTTTTCCTCCCATTATCCCGGGGACCTAGAAGACACCTCATGGATGGGGTCAGGGAGGGGAGTGATGCTTACGCTGCAGCAGTGGATGGCCAGAAGCAGGAAAGGCAGTGGGCAGTCATTTCCCACCAGTGTTCGAAAAGCAGGCACATCCAGACCAAAGTCCTGTGGGGACAGAGGAAGGGCTGCCAAGTTAGCCTTCCCTGGGTTCTGCTTGTGCCCACTGTGAGCGTCTCCACCTCCAGGGAGCCCTCCTTGGTTATGAGGCACTTATTGTGGAGGTTACTTCACCTCAGTACGGGGTAGGTAGTCAGGGTCCGCAGGTACTCGGGCAATGAGTTCACAGAGGACGATCCCAAAGGCGAAGACGTCGGCCTGGAGGCAGGAGACAGACCATGCCAAGGGGGAGGAGGTGGCAGTTATCTCGTGTTGGAAGGTGACAGTGAGGGGTATGGGAGAGGGCGGGGAGGGAGGGTTCCTGACTATTTGGTAGGGTTGTAGTTGGATGGGGCTCTGTCTCAGGGACTCTGGGGGGACTTGACGCTCTTACCTTCTCATCATACAGCTCTCCCCGCAACACCTCTGGAGCCATCCAGTATGGGGAGCCCACCACAGCCAAGGGCTCCTTCCTTGCCCCTTCCCTGCAGGAGAAGGGGGTCAGAACCCTCTATTCAGACATCTCCCCCAAGCAAAAGGGGATGGGGTGAGCCTTCTCCCCACCCACAGAAAATGTCACTGGGAGCTTCACACACGTATAGGGGATCCTTGGGAGGCTTGGGGTATGAAGGGCATTCACCTCACCTATACACAGGAATCTTTTCAGCCAGTCCGAAATCACCCACGACAGCTGTGAAGCCTCGGTCTTCCCTTCGGACCAGACAGTTCTGACACACACATATAGGCATCCTCACACACCCATACCTGCTCTCTGGTCTTCCAGTATATACCCAAAGCCCTGCATCACTACAGCCTCATCCCAACCTCCCCTCCCAGTTCTCCAATGCACCCCATTACTGCAACATCATTCAATACTCAGTGAGACACTTAGTTCCTCAGAGCACTCCTAGCCCTGTTCTTTAATAATTTCCAACACCTTGTCACCCCAACATCCTAATGCACTTACTACCCACGTGTCAACATCCACAGGCCAATCACAACTTAACAGCCACAGACCCTTTTTCATTTCCCCACCCACCTCGGCCAGCCTACCTTGGATGTGAGGTCTCGGTGAAATACACCTTTGGCGTGTAGGTACCGTAGGCCTTGGGCAATGTCCAGTGCTAGGTGGAGCCTGACTGGCCAGGATAGGGGTTCCGGGGAGCTGAGCAGCTGTTCCAGGGTGCCCCCATTCATATACTGGGACACAGGGGGAAAAAGAGGGGAGTGACTGTCAAGGCTTCAGTCTGTGTTCTATGTCTGCCATTCATAAGCCAGGTGACACTCAGGAGGATCACAAGGGTCCGAAGGGTGAGTCTGGGCTCCAGGGTTCCCATTTACATCCTAGGCTGCCCTATCCATCACAGCAGCACTGTGTAGCTAAGCTATATCAGCTACGAGATATAAACACAATCAGATACTCAGTTCTTCTGTCACACCAGCTCCTGCTTTAGTCTAGCTATGTGTGGCTGGTGGCTCCCGTGTTAGACACAGACACAAAATATCTCCATCACGGCAGAAAGGTCTATGGGTCACACTGTTCTCAGGAATGACTCTAGCTGAGGATTCTGGTGTGTGGTTTGCCCAAAGGAAGTTCAGGAAGCCTCCTGTTGTCCCGGGTGGCTCCTTTTTGATCTCCCTGTAGATCCACCAAGCCCGCTGACACTTCCACTGGGAGGTGTGGTGCCTTCCCTCTTTCCTGGCCTACGCTTAATGCTTACCTCCGTAAGAGCGTGCAGCTGCCCCTGGTGCACACAGACCCCCATGAACCTGAAAGACGATGGAGAGGACAGAAGGGTAGGCTGTAAGAGCCCGGGCTCCACCGCACCCCCCTCCTTTCCCGAGGGACCTTTCCATTCCCCTCCTGCCCAGCAAGAGGTTAGGCCGTTCACCTGAGGATGTTGGGGTGCCGGAGCCGGTTCATCAGCTGCACCTCTCTTAGCGTGTTGCTCCGGTTACTGGGAAGCTTGTTCATCTTCAGCACCATGACTTGCCCCGACTGTCGGTGCCGAACCTGGGGGCGGCAAGGATCGGTGCGTGCCCCGCAGGTTGGGTGGCTAGCTCAAGTACTGGATCTCCAACCCAGGCTGTGGGCCCCTAAGTTCCAGCCTCCCGTCCAAGGCTCGGTCCCGCCCCTCTACCCTCTCCTGTGGGTCCTACCTTGTAGACCTCAGAGAAGAACCCGGCCCCGATCTTCTCTGCGCAGTCGAAATCGTCCACACGCGCCAGGCTGGACACGGCGCTGCGGAGGGCCCGGTAGGACGAGGGCCGGCCCCTGCCCGGGCCTCCGCCTGCGCCCCCCGGCCCCTCCCCCGGCGCCTCTCCGGGCCCGGGGCCCCGCAGTGGGGGCCGTTCCCCGGCCATGGCCGGGCCCCCAGCCCGGGCCTGCTTCACATGGCCGGATCCCCGGGACCCGGGCAGGCCGCGCTCGCCATGGGCGCCGGCCCAGTCCGATCCCGGGTGCCGGGACTCCCGCTCTCGCCGGGAGGACCGAGGACCTGCCGAAGGTCCTGGACCCGCCCCCGCCGCCCCGGCGAGCTGGGCCCGGGGGGACGCCGCGGCTCTCCGCTCTGCGCGGGGCCTGGGCCTGGGCCTGGGCCGGGCGGCGGCGGCGGCGGCGGCGGCGGCGCTCCGGGGCGCCGGCGGGCGGGCTCCCCGCGGGCGGAGGCGGGCGGGCGGGCGGGCGGCTGCTGCTCCGCTTCGCCGCCGGGCTCAGGCTGCGCGGCCTGCCCGGGGCGGGGCTCGGCCCGGCCTGCGGTTAACTCCTTGGAGCCCGGGCGGCGGGCCGGCCACGCCCCCTCAGGTACGCACCCGCGCGTAGGCCGGGCCGTGAATAACCGGGGGACTTAAGGGTGGGCGGCGGGCGCCAAGCCGCCTGCGCCCTGGGCTCCACCGGTCGACCCCGCCGCTGCCTGCCTGGCCTGCGCCCCGCCCCGACTGCCCATTTCTAGGGTCTTCTGACTCGGACGCCCTAAATCTCCCGGCTCGCTAACACCTGTCTACTCGGGCGGTCGTGGTACCCGGGGCTGGAGGGAGCCTCTGGCCGCATCCCTGCCCTGCCCCGACCCCTCCTCACTCCATCCCGAGTCCCCTGAGTAAAGTTCGGACGCCGGGGCTCCGCCCGGGGACCACCCTCCCACTTCTTTGTCCTAATGACCCTCTTTTAAGAGCAGCCTCCACCTGCGGGGAAGCCACGCCCTCCGCCGGGGCCCACCCCCTGGGCCAGACCCCGCCCCCTTAAAGGCCGCCGCCCCTCGCAGCCCGCTCTCCTTCAGGGGGACCTTTCCTTGGGGTGACACCGCCACATCAGTGTGTGCCCGGAGCCCCTCAGTGCTGCACCCCCTGCTCTTTGTGTCCCTTTCACTGAGGGCGGCCTCCCAGAGTGACTCGGCCGGTCGTTGTGACCCCTCCTCTCAAGGTGACTCCTCCCCTCGCTCTCGCCTAGCCCCGCGGCGGTGTGACCCTTCCAGCAGGTTGCGCCCCGCGTCGCGTAGACGCGAGTCTGCCCCCGTCAGGCCAGAGGAGGAGGTGCTCAGGCCTGGGCAGCGGTTGGCACCCTCTGAGTGCGCACGCCCAGGCTCGGGACGTGGCTTTCGTTCCCCCCCCCGACGTTTCCGGCTCTGCCGCCGCCGACTCCTCCCCTCAAGGTCGTCGCGAAACAGCCAATCATCGCCAGGGTGGCGTGACGTCGCTGGATCCCCGGCGGACGGAGGGCCTCCGGGCATCCGTGAGCCTGCTGCCACCGCGCGGCGGAGTGGAGCGAGGCAGGAGCGGCTGGGAGGGTGCAAGGCGGTCTGGGAGGGAGTGCACCGTATAAGGGAAAGAATCGCGCAGGTTTGGAGAGGGAGGAAAAGAGTCATGGACAGTCGTGCCGGAGACGACGGAGTAGGCCAGTGCTTGTTCGTTTTTCCAGGGACTTTGGTCTCTTCACATTAAGTTAGAGTTAACTGAAGAACTATTTGCAATCTTTCGGGTAGAGATTGAAACAGGGTGGCTTTGAACTCATGAGACTCCTGTACTGGGATGACCAGTGTGTGTTACCATGCCTGGAGGGAATTTGTTTTCGATAGTTTGTGCAGGGTCTGGAGACACTCGGAATGTGCGCCTATAGAATAATTAACCTCTGCATAGTAAGCCTAACCGACACTGGATTCTGGCCCTTCATTCATTATTTGAGGATTAATGTCGGTGACGGTAATTTCAGGCTGAAGAGCCTGCTTTTAGGAAGAGCGCTGTGCCGGTTGTAGTGAGGGAGAATGCTTCGGAAGAAGGCCGGCCGTGTGGTGGTTCCTTCTGCTGGGGATGAAAGACTGAAGTAGGACTAATAAGAGAGAGGAGCGAATGGTAACTAGCTTGGGAGGTGCGGTAGGAAACCCCGTGGGGGAACTGCTGCAGCCGGTTCACCGCTAGGTCTCTAGTTTATGGGTGATGTCACCTGTCTTCAAAAGTTGATGAAGATGCGGGTGGGAGGTATGCACACACACACACACACACACACACACACACACACGCACATACTACCTTCTTTCTCACATGTGAACTACCTGCTTTCAGATACTTTCTGTGCCTGTGACTCTCCTGGGGCTAATTCATGGCCAGTCTTCTTTCATCCACAGGTCTGCCCCCTCTCTCCCAGTTATTTGGTATGTATCTATGGCATTATTTTATCAATAAATATTTCAGTATATTACCGATAAAAATAAGGGTGCTTCATTAAAACACAATCATAGTGTCATTGTCGTGTCTTTAAAAACTAATAATAGGGCAGGCAAGATGGCCCCGCAGGTAGTGCTTGCTTCAAAAGACTTGGAGACCCGAGCTTGATGCCTGGAATGCGCGCAAAGTGGAAGGAGAGACTCAACCGCACATGTGTCTCGACATGTGTGCCCTCTCGCATCATAATACACACAATAATAAAAAATAAATTAAAAGTCAGATGAACACCTATTATTCCAATTGTCAGGAGGTTGAGGCAGGAGGATCACGAGTTTGAGGCCAGTCTAGGCCACATAGCAAGACCTTATTTTAAACATCAAACCAAACAATAATTTCTTTTTTTTTTTTTTTATAAAGGATTTTTTTTTTAAGTTTTATTTATTCATTATGTATACAGCATATATGACCGCAGGCCAGAAGAGGGCACCAGATCTCATTACAGATGGTTGTGAGCCACCATGTGGTTGCTGGGAATTGAACTCTGGACCTCTGGAAAAGCTGTCAGTGCTCTTAACCTCTGAGCCATCTCTCCAGCCCCAAACAATAATTTCTTAATATCAAGTATCTAGTTCACTTGTTTCTTTATGTTGGATTTTCGAAGTTGTCTATTTTAATCAAAATCTAAATGACCTCCTCACTTTGCTCCTGAAATAGCTTTTAATCTTTTTAAATCTCTTGTCCGCTCTCCGTGTTTTCCCATGATCAGTTAACAATTTTTATGGGTTTATGTGTATGGGTGTTTTACCTGCATGCATATCAGTGCCCAGTGTACATGCCTGGTACCCAAGGAGGCCAGAAGAGGGCACTGGATTCCCTGGAACTGGGGCCACAGAGAGTTGTAAGCCTCCATGTGGGTGCTGGGAATCGAACCCTGGTCCTCTGGAAGAGCAGCCAGTACTTGTAACTGTTGAGCCATCTCTCCAGGCACTTATTGTTATTATTACTATTACTATTATTATTATCATTATTATTTTATTAAAAAGCCATAAGAATTGGAGCATAGTGGTGCACGTCTAGAATACCAGCACTCAGGACACAGAGGCAGGGGGATTTTGAGTTTGGGACTAACCTAGGCTGTATGTTGAGATACTGCCTCAAAAAAGGAAACTTTTCAAGCTGGATATATATGGCTGGGTAGCAGAGTTTGTGCCTGGCATGCTTGAAGCCCTGGGTTCCAATTTTCTGTACCAGGGGGTAGGGGAACACCCCTTTTCATTAATGATTAATTTTATCAGCTTGATTGAGTTGAGGAGCAGCTATGTTAGTGAAGCACTCCTCAGGGGGTGTCTGTGAGGGCATTTCCAGAGAGGATTATGGGGGAAAGACACACCTAGAATGTGAGCGGCGCCATTCACAGTCTGGGGTCTCAGTGGGATGGGGAAAGTTCACAGCATGGGTGTCCTCTCTCCTTCCTGGTGAGGCTGTTCCAGGAGATGCACAGTTGCACCTCCTCACCAGATTGACAGCAGCCACTGAAACCCCGAGCCAGAATAAATCCTAGAGATGGGGTTCCTTAGGGCCTGACACTGGGACAAAAAAACTAACAGTTTCCATGTTTACTATTTGTTACCCAGAGATCCAATTCATAGGAAAAGCTGGGTAAATGTTTCCTTCGACCAACTTTCGGATAGTGTTGCTGTCCTAGCCTCTTCCAAGGGAGCCAGTGAAGATTCTTGTGCGCAGCACCATCAGCTCATAATTGAACACATGCCATGAACTCAGGTGTTGGAAGCTGAAGTAAGTTTCGATGCTTGGATCATCTATTTTGTTTTGGTCACTGGGAACCTCCCCAGGTTGGAACCCAGGTTCTTTTTTTTTTTTTTTTTTTTTTTCCCTGAGACAGGGTTTTTCTGTGTAGCTTTGGAACCTGTCCTGGATCTTGCTCTGTAGACCAGGCTGGCCTCGAACTCACAGAGATCTGCCTGGCTCTGCCTCCTGAGTGCTGGGATTAAAGGCATGCACCATGGCCACCCGGCACCAGGTTCTTTTGACATGAGTCATGCCATGGTGTGGATGTCACCTTTGACACACATGTCAGATTTTAATTGCCACTTAAACTGCTATTGAGAGGAGGGACAGACACTTGGGAGATGATAGGGATGGCCAGCTCTTGGGGGTACAACCCTTGTGAACGTCCTGATGGTGTCATCTGAGGACTGGGTTCTCCGCAAAAGGACAGATCCATCCTGAGTTTCTCTGTCTCGTTTCCTGCATTCCCGCTTTCCGGCATGTTACAGTGCAGTGTGATGTCCCTTGCCTGATGCCAATACCATGTTCTTGGGATCCCTGTCCTTCATGAGCTAAATCAATGTCTCTTGTTGTTGATAAATTGTGTAGTCTTGTGGAGGCCCAAATTACTCAGGGTCAGAGAATCTGAGCTTGCTTTACCCGGCAGGGTGCATAAGGGGATGATTTGACCATGTGCGTGGTTACCAGGTGTTTGGAAGGGTCTACACTTGGCTGTATGGTGTGCTTTGATCTTGCAAGGGGGAGGTCTCTTGCCTCTCCCCTTGGCATGCTACAAAAAACCTTTGGAATAAACTTTTGAGGCTACTGGGTGTTGATCCAGGCCCTCCCAAAGCTATCCTGTGTTTCTGTCTTCTTGTCTTCCAAGTCTCTCTTTCTATCTAATATTTTCTTATCCCTCTCTCCTCCTCCTAAGAACCCCAGAAAAGGTGCAGCTGGCCTCCCCCAGTCTCCCAGATAGTCTTTTATAGTCTATGGCAGAAACAAGAGACTAAGATAACTCTCCATCTTTCTGTCTCCTTCCTACCTCTTCCCCCCTCTCCTTCTTCTCTTCCTCCCTCCCCCTCTCCCTACCTCATCCCTCCCTTCCTGTCCCTTCTCTCCTTTTTTAAATGACGTGGTCCCTTATAGCCCAGACTAGCTTTGAACTTGCTATGTCATTGAGGCTAGCCTTAAACTCTTATTTTTTTTTTATTCTTCCATCCTGACTGCAGTTTTCTGTCCTGTCCCCCACCCCCAGATCCAGTCCCCCTTCTGTCTCCCCTCAGAACAGGGCAGGCCTCCCAGGGACATCAACAAGATGCTGCATAACATGCTACAATAAGGCCAGGCACATACCACCACATCAAGGCTGGTTGAGGCAACCCAGTAGGAGGTAAAGGGTCGCCAAAGCAGGCAAAAGTCATAGACAGCCCCTACTCTCACTGCTGGGAATCCCACAAGAACACCAAGCTACTCAGCAGTAACATATGCAGAGGACCTAGGTCACACCCCTAGAGGCTCCCTGATCTCTGTGAGCCCCCAGAGCCTCAATCGGTTGATTCTGTGGGTTGTGTTCTCATGGTGTCCCTGATCCCTCTGGTTCCTCTGATCCTTCCTCCCCCTCCTCCACAGGACTCCCCGAGCTCCAGCTAATGTCTGGCTGTGGGACTGACTCTGCACCTGCTCGCATCAGTTACTGGATGAAAGTCTCTCTGATCTCTTTGATGTGGATTCTGCTAGGCTCCAGTCCCAGAACACTCTGCAGGCAGGACATACGGTAGGTTGAAGGTTTTGTGGCTGGGTTGGTATCCTAATCCCTCCTGGAGGCATTGCCTTGTTACAGAAGATGGCCAATTCAGGCTCGGTGTTCCCCAACCACCCCTAGTCCACCCTCAAAATCTACTCTATTTCCTCTTCCCAGGGAGAGCCTTGGGTCCCCCCTTAAGCCCTCATTACTTAGCCTCTCTGGGTCAGTGGATTGTAACATGACTATTTTTTACTTTACAGCTAATGTTTGCTTATAAGTGAGTACATACCATGTTTGTCTTTCTGGGTCTGGGTTACCTCACTGAGAATGATTTTTTTCTAGTTCCATCCATTACCCTGCAAGTTTCATGATGTTACTGTTTTTAACAGCTGAGTAATACTCCATTGTGTAGATGTACCACATTTTCTCTATCCATTCTTCGGTTGAGGGGCATCTAGGTTGTTTCCATTTTCTGGGTATTATGAATAAAGCCGCTATGAACAGGGTTGAGTAAGTGTCCTTGTGGCAGGATGTCCTTTGGGTATATGACCAAGAGTGATATAGCTGGGTCTTGAGGTAGATAATTTCTGAGAAACTGCCATATTGATTTCCAGAGTTAGCCTTGAACTCTTGCTCCTCCTGGCTACATCCTTTGTGCTGGAATTAAAGGTACACATCACCACTCCCAGCTTCTTGCTATTTTATAAGACATGTTTTATCTTAGAAAATGTTTATTTTGTACATATCTAGACGAGAACTGGGTCAGCTGTTTTCACAGTGATTTTTCCTTTGTTGAAAAGGGAATAGCACTTATACCCAAAGATGAGTACTAGGAATAGATGGTTATTTGACATTGGGAAGAACAGGCAACTGAATATACTCAATGGCTGCCCCTTTCAAAACAGCCTCTCGCCGGGCGGTGGTGGCGCATGCCTTTAATCCCAGCACTTGGGAGGCAGAGGCAGGCGGATCTTTGTGAGTTCGAGGCCAGCCTGGTCTAGAGAGCGAGATCCAGGAAAGGCGCAAAGCTGCACAGAGAAACCCTGTCTCGAAAAACCTAAAAAAAAAAAAAAAAAACAGCCTCTCCCAGCATCTTTATTATGACAATGTACATCGGACACCTGTGTATCCTTCACCTTGATCAATGGGCCTTAGCACTCTATCAGATCTGTCTGTAATATGATAGGAAAGCAGTGTTAGATAATATAGTTTAAAATCTTATTGTAGGGTGGGAGAAGGCTCAGTAGTTAAAGGGCCGGTCTCACAGGCATGTATATGGGAGTTTGGGTCCACAATCCATGTAAATGCCATGTGGGAATGATAACTGAGCGTGACCCATAGGGCAGCTGACTAGCAGGATTAGCCATGTTGGCCAGCTCTGGGTTTGATTGAGAGACCTTTCCTCAGTGAATAAAGTGGAAGAGGAATGATGGATGCTTCATATTAGCCTCAGGCCTCTACATGCATGTGCATCAACCCCCCCCCCCACAAGTGGGCTAACACACATGTAAAACATGCACACACACACACACACACACACACACACACACCTCACACATAAAAGTGGAAAAAAAATCTTATCATACCATTTGAAGATAAATTGCCCAAAATTAGGAAACTTGTTTAGCATTGTTCTGTGATGGTTGATGTTGACAGTCAACTTGGAGGGTCTGGAATTGTCTAGGATGCAGGTCTCTAGGCACACGTGTGAGGGATGGTCTTGATTAGGGCTGTTGAGGACGAAGAGCCACTTTAATGGAAAGTGGCATCATTCTCTGGGCTAGGGCCCTGGACTGCATAAGGAAGAGAAAGTCTGCACAGTCGTTCACGGCTCACGCCTTCCTGACTGCAGATGTGGCCAGCCGCTTTAAGCTCCTGCTGCCTTGAATTCCACATCATGATGGCCAGAATAACCCTTTTCTGTGTTAAGTTGCTTATGTCAGGGTATTTTATCATGGTAGCATAAAAAATAACTGACCACCCTATGTGGTTACATATTCTGCCGCATTGTGTCTTGACTCAGTTTCTTCATCGGTTCTTGACAGTTTTCATAAGTCATTGGCTTCTGTTTCTCTGTGTTCTTTGCTGGTTTTTCTTCAACTCCCTGTCCCTCCAACAGGAGTACCCCTCCTCTTCTCTGTATATGCACTGCGGGTCAAATCATGGTCCCAAAAGTTAAATACTATTCCTATGCTGAAGAACCCCAGTTTCTTTATCATGGCCCGATCTTGCCTCTGAACTTTTGACTCTTAAATCATATTGATCACTCATTCTCTTCACCTGAATATCTGTTTTTTAAAAGTGAATGGGTATAATCCCAACACTTGGACGGTGGAGGCAGGAGAATCAAAGTCGTTTTCAGCTACATAGAGAGTCTGAGGCCAGATTGGGTTATCTCAAGAAACGCAAACAAAACAAAACAAATCAGTGGGTAGAAAAAAACTCTCTCTCTCTTTTTCAGACAAGGTCTATGTTATCCTGGCTGTCTTAGAACTTGCTAGATAAACCATGCTGACCTAGCACTCAGAGATCTGCCTGTCTCTGCCTGTCAAGTGCTGGGACTAAAGACGCGCGCCACCATGCCAGGCACAAATGCTTTAGTCCCAACTGTCCTCTATGTGTCCCCACCTCCTAGATTCTTAAATGCTCAGTGGAAAAGCTGAGCTAGCCCGGCCCCCTGTCTTGTATCCAGCACACCAGCAAACACCATGAGACACCTCTGGAATGTGTCTGCAGCATGATGACCGCCACCTCTGACTCAGTGCCCATGGCAGGTCTCTTGAAGCAGCCCCCTCCTTTTTAGGTCTCCACGTTAACTGATGCCTTTGCCCTTCTGTAACTTATTCTCTACAGCAGTGGTTCTCAACCTTCCTAACGCTGGGACCCTTTACTACAACAATCCTCAAGTTGTGCTGACCCCCACCCATAAAATTATTTTCATCGCTACTTCATAACTGTAATTTTGCTACTCTTGTGAGTTGTAATGCAAATATCTGTTTTCCAATGGCCTTAAGCGACTCTGTGACATGGTCGTTCGGGCCCCCCAATGGGGTTGTGGCCCACAGGTTGAGAACCACTGCTCTACAAAGAGGGTTTTGTTTGTGTGTGTGTTTGTTTTCACTTCTGGGAATTCAACCAAGGGCCAGGCAAGCTCTCACCAGAACTACGCCTGCAACCCTAGAAAATCTTTTTAAAACATTAAGTCTGATTGTTTTACCTGTGTGTGCAAAACCTGCACTCAAAATCAAGTTAAAATATTCTCTAACAACATTTACACATTTGATTTCCAATTTCTTGTCTAAGATCTCCAATATAAAGTGTGAAATGGTGGTCGTAGATAGTAGACAGTCATACCTCGTCCCTAAGATCTCCAATATAAAGTGTGAAGTGGTTGTCGGAGACATAGACAGTCTTACCTTGTTCCTGACTTTTTTCTTTTTAAAGACGTCTCACTCTATAGCCCAGGCTGGTGTCAAACTCATGGCAAGCTTCCTGTGTTAGTTTCCTGGGGATGATGGGTTTAGATCCTTATTTTTTTCATTCATCTATCTATCTATCTATCTATCTATCTATCTATCTATCTATCTATCTATCTATCTATCTATCTATCCATCCATCCATCCATCCATCCATCCATCCATCCATCCATCCATCCATCCATCTATCTATCTTTTTCCCTCTTTTTTTTGTTTTTGTTTTTTGAGACAGGGTTTCTTTGTGTAGTTTTGGTGCCTGTTCTGAATCTTGCTCTGTAAACTAGGGTGGCCTCAAACTCGCAGAGATCCTCCTGGCTCTGCCTCCTGAGTGCTGGGATTAAAGGTATGCGCCACCCCCCCACCCCCCCGACTCTATCTATCTATCTATCTATCTATCTATCTATCTATCTATCTATCTAGACAGGGTCTGTCTATATAGCTCTGGCTGTCCTGGAACTCACTTTGTAGCCCAGGCTGGCCTTGAACTCACAGAGATCCGCCTGGCTCTGCCTCCCGAGTGCTGGGATTAAAGGCGTGTGCCACCACCGCCCGGCGAAGTACTTTTTTTTTGGTTTTTTGAGACAAGGTTTCTCTGTAGTTTTGCGCCTTTCCTGGTACTCACTTTGTAGACCAGGCTGGCCTCGAACTCACAGAGATCCTCCTGCCTCTGCCTCCCGAGTGCTGGGATTAAAGGCGTGCACCACCACCGCCCGGCGAAGGAACGCTTTTAACATTTAAGTGTAATGTTTACTATATGGGTGTTTTGGGTAGTAATTTATATCAGTTACCTATTACCACAAGAGTGCCATGTGACAGGCTATATCAAATCTCAGTGATTAGCCAGGCATAGTGGTACATATCTGTAACTATAATTACTTGGGAGGCAGAGGCAGGCAGATCAGGAGTTCAAGGCCAGCCTCAGCCACATAGTGAGCTGGAGGCCAGCTTGACTTATATGACACTCTGTTTCAAAAACTAAACCAGGGGGCTGGAGAGTTGGCTTAGTGATTAAGAGCACTTATTGTTCTTGCAAAGGACCTGGGTTCAATTCCTAGCAACCACATGGAGGTCAACCACCTCCTCAGGAACCAGGCATGCATGTGGTACACAGACAGACATGCATGCAGGCAATACACTCACTTAACGTTAAATAATAAACTAAACTACACTAAACTAAACTAAACTGAACTAAACAAAAAACTAAACTAATCAAAACAAAACAAAACAAAACAAAACACCCCCACCCCAAACAGTGCCACAGGACAACAGTTTCTCTCACAAGTCTGTGGTCCAGTGAGGTTGGCTTTCTAACGTCGCCAGAGGTAGAACTCTTTCCTCCTCCCTCCGTTTCCCTCCTCGACCAGCCTGGGCATGTTCTCATGGTGATGGAAGGGAAGGACAGGAACACAGGCATATCTGTAGGCGCTTTCTTGGTTGCCAACTTGAGTGCGTTTAAAAACACCTAGAGCTCACTAAAGTACACAGCTGGAAGTGTCGGCAAGCGTGTTTCCAGAGGTTAGATCCTGAGGGCTCCTCTCCAAACAGTGCTTTAGT